CTGCTTTCACTGTCAGAGAAGGAAGTGCAGATTGAGGCTGTACACTAACGGCAGGGTTTTATGTGGTTACAGGGAAAAAAGGAGATCACACAGCATGTGTGCAAGCAAGCTGAGGAGGCAGAGACTAAGCAGTGCAACTGATATTTTGGGGGACTCTGGCCAGCTGATCAGGAGAGGCAAGGGCTCTGCTCTGATGGAGCTATTCCTCCAGACGGTGGACCCCTGTGCTAAGGATAGGCAGCAGGGATTTTAGACGCTCACTCCTGGTTTTTCAGCCCTTGTGGAAACCGGCCAGGGGACTCACTTGCATGCTGATGTAATTTAGTTTATACATCAGTCTGCGGTGGGAGGCATTCTACTTATGGGAATTTGAGTTCTCCTGACATTAAGACCAAGCACAAACTGGCCACACATGGAGGTAGCATCACCTGCACCACCTTTGCCAAAGCACCTTAGTCTTGGCCTGCATTACTCCCTAATATGCTAGTTCTGAACCCTCCCTACACAGCTCTGGCAATGCACCTCCCTCCTACCTGGCAGCCCCCTGCTATTCCAGCCCAGGGGCCCACACAGCCCAACCCTGATCTGCAGCCTTTTCTATTATTCTAGTCCTGCCCTCATCCCCAGCTCTGCCAATTCACCGCAGTCCTGGGACCAGTACAAATTCGAAAAGAGCACTTCAGTCCTGAACTGCAGCTGGTCTCGAGTCTCGGGGCAGAGAGCCGACTGTGCCAAGTTCCTTCAGATTCTGGCCATCATATAACTCATGCAAGACTAGTAAGCGCATGCACCAGCAACTGTTTTGGAGGAGAGTTCCCCAGGATCCCCTCATTCTATTCAGTATCTGGGTGACCTTCTCCCCTGCCAAGGAAGGCTGGATGCAGCTCCCTCCTGACCATTTGAAAACACTTTTTCTATCATCTGGGAAATAAACTGCATATCAATAGAAGCTGTTTATAGCCACTGCTGGTATGGGATCTCTGGATCCCTTCACACCAGTGTGGTACAAACCACACGGCTGACCCATTCACTATGACAGCAGAATCCTGATTCTCCAAACCACCTGGGTGACACCAATTATGATTGTTATTTGCTTGCAGTTGCACCTACAACAGGAGGGGAGCCTTTCAGACACACAGGAAAGAGAAGGCCGCTGCCCCAAGGAGCCCACAGTCTAAGACAGACAAGTAGACAGATGTCAGGGATAGGGAATATGAGGGCGAGTTTGATAGATTGGGAATTTAGGCTCTGAGGGAAGCCCTCATTAATCAGTAACACTCGGGTAGCTTGACAAACAGGGTGGTTCAAATCATCAGTCTGTTAAATCAAGATCCCCTTGCAATTAATATCTGATCAGAACCCACAGCTCCAAACGCAAAAGGCATTAAAGTCAATGAATCTTCAAACCTCCTAGCTTATTTAAACTGTTTCCTGCCCTAAATACTGACACATAGGATGTAATATCAACATGAAAGCACACAGTCCATCACCAACCCCAACTCCAGCCAACGCACTTCAGCCCTCACCCAAGGGATAAGAGGAGCCCAGCCAGGCTGAAGAACTGGAAGTTACAGAGTGCAGTAAAAAGCATCTGTTTTTTCACTGAGCTGATCTGGTGTGAATTTACACAAGCAGCTCCCAAGTGAAGGCCTGACCTCTCCAGCCACCCGATCTCTTTGCCCAACCCACACCTTAAACCATGTCATATTCTAGCTAGAGCTTTGCTAACTCCGTGAAATTAAATGAGTGATTTCCAGCTATGAGTTTGTTACAGTTGCAAAAGGAAGAGACTGCATGATCCTAACCAGGGCCGCTGAGAGCGGGTTTGGGCCCCGGTGAAAAAATTTTTTCGGGCCCCCCAGCAAGGGCGGACCGGCTACACAGGGCCGATGAGAGGGGGGGAAGCTGGGGAAGCCGGGCCCCGGGCCACTTTCCGGACCGCCGGGCCTCGGTAATTTGTACCGGCTTCCCCCCACTCTCGTCGGCCCTGATCCTAACTCTGCCATAAGCAGGGAGATCTGGATGATAGAACCACCCCTTGAGATGGTTACTCTTAATGTGGCTGATAGAAACCTCATATCGCTGGACTACAGAATGGAGATTTTATGACACATGTGCCTCTGATTACAATATATTACCATTAATATAATGCCTGCTTTCTACTTATCTGTGTCTTTGGCTAATAAACTATAGAAGACCACCAGTGAAGCAGTAATAAAGCACAGCTGTTGAATCAAAGCCTGTTTCTAGGTCAAAGCGAGTTTGGGAGAGGCCGGGGAGAATGGGCTCTACCAGGGGAAACAATACTGAACTGAAACGAGAAGAGGATCCTCCAGGCAGCTTTAATTAATCTTTAGTTTTATCCCAGAAACGTTACTGGAGTTCTTGGCAAGCAGGCCAAGAAGAGGACGCAAGTCTGCATTTCCATAGTGCATCTCATTATTATCCAAATGGACGCCCCTGACTCTTTACAAATTGTATCGACTGTAGGAATTATATATGCACGTACCTGCACTCGTGCATACTTAGAGATAGGGAGAGGAGACGAGTCATTCTTGGTCACCATTGAAATGCAGCCACCAGTCACGAAACTGGAGCCATTTTAGAACGCACTGCAACAGTGCTCAACTGACAAGGGCAGGAAATGAAAAATGTCACATCCAAGTACAGGGGAAATGTAAGGAGACAGAAACAAATCACCAGAGCTGGAATATGTAGTCAGGACACTGGGGTAAACAACCGTAAATCCTACAAAAGTGCTTTAATGACAAGTGGTCAGGAATTGCGTTTTACATCTCATCACCACGCAGAGCTCACCACCACAACCCTGGGGGCCAAAGGAAGAACGTCAGCTGAATCACCAACACTGCTTTCAGTGCGATTCCAGAATTTCTCTAGACTTTTTGCACCCAAACAATGTCTTGGCCTGAATCTACTTAGCCTGAAAGCTGGCTACCTCAGAACTCAAGGTGGGATGGAAGGGATCTTTCTTATATGGATACATGATTATTATTATTTGCAGTACTGTCGTGCCTAGGAGCCCCAGCCAGGGACCAGGACCCCGCTGTGCTAGGTGCTGTACACAGAACAAAAAGACAGTCACATGGAACCCACATGGCTAGTTTAAGCTAAGATCTATTTCTTGACAATTAAATGAGACGGTTTTAATAGAATGCCAGAAGACAAAGTTGCTGTATCTTTCATGCTGAGGACTATCTACCTAATAAGCAACACAATTCCACCATAGGAGGTTTGTTTTTTTTAATAATCAAGAATATCTGGTTATAGTGTAAGCCACAAAAGCAAAACTCAAGTCAGCATGCCTCCCCACAATAAAAATCCAGGGCAGCCCTATGCTCAGAGTGGTATATGTTGGTTTACTTTCAGACTTGGGATTAAACAACAATAAGCAAAAAAACAACCACCACCCAAACCCCAGATGTCAAATGTAAACTAAAATTGTTATTCAGCAATTTGCATCACTTACTGTCTTATTAAAGTCAAATGATTTTCGTTTCTCTCTCTCTCTCTCTGTTATTGTAATAAAATAAAGAATCTAGGGACTTCTGAAGACATTTTGCTGCACTAAATGAAATTCTCCTTTAACTTTTAGGGGTATAGTCTCACTTACAACTCCTGCCAACGCTGGTGGGACTTGCACAGAAATGAACATTTAAGAGTTCCATGGATGACAAGATCCCTACAGAGACGATGCATCAGTGGGTTATGACACACTGTAAGACACAAGGTAACTTCTTGCCATTAGCAAAGTGTGGCGGGAATGCAGTGATCCTGCAACAGGGGAGGTGGTATTCTCAAGGTAAAGGAACCAAAATGTCAAGTGACTGCAGACCAGCGCGTTCAGCCTCTGAGCTTGGACTGACTGAAGCCAATGGAAATTCTGGCATTGATTTTAGTGGGTGCAGGATCAGGCCCTAGAAAAGCAAACAACTCCTAGGAAGACCAGCTTTTTCATGTAAGCTCTACAGCTCATGGAAAGAAACAACACCAAATTCAACCCCCTCCCATGGCAGCAGAGGGTCAGGTGACTCATGGTCTGATCCTCATGGGATCCTTTCCCCCCCCCCACGAAGGAAATTGTCTATAGAAAATAAATCAGTGGGTGGCTTCTATGCCAATGGATTCATTATTAAATCCCTGCCTCCATGGTGAGCACCAAACACTGACTCAGTGCCAAAATCCACCTGCTCTGCTAAGGCTCGGTGGGATGCTTTTGCGGAGCTTCACAGACTCAGTTCCCTCAAGGCTTTTATCTGACTGTGATACGTCATGCCATGTATATTTCTGTGTGAGGTCTTTACTTCCTAGCTTCTCCTTGAACAAATTTCAGAGACACTGGCGGGTCAAATCTGGCCCAAAATTTAGGTGTTGAAAAAACGCTTTTAACGCTTTTAAGAGGAACAAAATATTTCTGAAAATTCCCTTTTTTAAATTTCCAAAGGAAACATTCACCTCTAGCATCTGTAGCCCCAAAGCGGCAGCAATGCATTAGACTGCACTGCAACTTCCTAAGGACCAGAGACTGAAATGGATTAGAAAGCAAATGAAACTGACTAGTCCATTTTCCTCCTTCAAGCCCAGCAAAATGTAGCAAGTAACCAACAGCATAGATGGAGATAGACTGGATGTTTTAAGTGCTTTCAAGTTTTTAATAACTTCAGGTGTTTTGTGAAACACAGTTAAGTGCATTTGGCAGATTGAAGTACAAGATCAGGAACTAAGAGATTCGGGCTCTTTTTCCAGCTGTGCCACAGGCTAACAGCCTGGACTTGGTCAAATCACTTAACCTCCCTGTGCCTCAGTCTTCTCACTGTAAAATAGGGACGATACCTTCTTGTATGGAGGCTGTGAAAGATTATTTGCTTTTGGAAGGATTATGATTTTAAACCTGACACTGTCCCTTTAAATGATGCACGTCTCTAAGGAACATGACTACTGAGAGCACTTGATTCTGCTCATAGGAAAATGCTGCTACTTACTTTTTCAAGGGCTCTATCACCGTCTTTTGGATTTGGTTCACCTATTGGAAGAAAAGAGATTGTTACAAACAAATGTTGTTGAAGAAGCCTGTTTGAACTAAGTTATACATTTGTGCAGCATCTTCCATACCAGGGCTCAGGCCTCGAGGTGCTACCAGAGTACAAATTAACAACATCATCCTCATCTTCATCAAATCCTCACCCCACAACCTCCTGTGCTCTGGAGCTGAAATGAAGTTTCCAGTGCAACTGGCAGCACTGGGACACAACTCTGGTCCTGTGCTCCCAAACCAGCAAAGACAGGACGTGCTGTGAGGGCAGCGCACTTGGTCCTCCGTGGAGTGGGGATGAGAGAAAGGACCTCATGTTACTCTATAGAACTCTCTCTAGTCAGTTTAAGGACTAGCCCTGATTGGCTCCAGGTGGAGGCACATGCATCTATTTTCATCTGAAGTGTCCCAGGATATGATAAATTAATCTGGGGGCCCTCCTAGGCTGAGAGAAGAAAGGGAAGGGGTAGGGGAGAGTTCACCTATATGGAGCAGATACACACACACACACACACACACACAGAGCACAAGTTCCCATCCCCTCCTCCTCCCCACTTCAGTAAAACCCACATTCACCTTCTCTTGGTTGAAAGAGTCCATTCTCTTCATGGCAGTGTCCAGGGCTGTTACCATTGTCAGGAAATCGGGGTCTTGCTCGCAGAGCGGGTTGGACAACAGGTCTGAAGAGATTTTCACGGCTGATTTTGACATGGCTGCAGTACGATGGGACCCAAGAGCATGTAAAAGAAGAAGAGAAGGTCCGTCAGTGACACAGAGTTGCATAACAGGACAGGCACTTGCAAAATAATCCAGGTTTGCTGGAACTAATTCATTATCCCAGTTCTACAAAAGACGGTCTGGGACACAAACCTAAATCTTCAGCCACTAAGGCACTTAGTTCAGCACCTAAACTTTCCAGGGACACAAGTTGGAGGTTAAGAGAGAAGATTAAGAGAGAGGTACTGATTTTTTCATGTAAACACTGAGAGAATAGTTTTTATACAGGTTAAATGTGGACCATTTAAATGCAAGATGCGATGCTGCCAGAAATAATACCAGACTAACAAAAGCATAACTTTCTTTTAAAAATAATGTAGACAGCTTTTTTGACATTTTTTTATACATCTGCTTTTTTTTAACAGACTATTAAGCATTGCTCTGTCTCATTGTAGCTCCTCCACAATGAGAAAAAGCACAGTCCATTAAGTCTTCCAAAAAAGCTTTACAAAGATACATATTTTAAGTGGATTTAGTGCTGGGGGAAAGGGGCCAGACTGACAAGGCTGGAGAAGGAAGATCTTTATTCGCCTGCAAAACAGGTACAGCATGAGCAGAAGTAGTGCAAGCTTGTCACCAATGAGCCTGAGTTTTCTTCCAGAGGGAACCATTTGCCAGCAATGGGTCCTCAGCACACCCCTCCATAGGCAAAGACCTCTCTGCTGTGACTGCCAACAAAAGGGCCATCTGCTGTGGCAGTTGTGAACTGGCCCCTTGGCCACCAGAGAGTCACAGAATTTAAGGCTAGAAGGGACCCCCGGGACCACCACTGAACTCAGATGCAACTTTCATTGCATCAAGACCCTTTTGCTTTCTTTTAGATTTACAAGCATTTCTTCTTTTCTATCCAATCAACTGGCCTCATTTTTCAACGAAGAAAATTCAGGACAAAGACCCTGCAGCGTCCTCCCCACACACACCACTGTAGAAGGATAAGATGTGAGATCAATGAAGAGTTCGTACAGCAACAGGCTGAACGACGTTCACGGTAAATAACTGGAATATAACGTAGGAAGATGAATAAAACAGAAAAGCCAATATTTAAGTAAAAAGAGGATAACTATCCAGAAATCTCTGTCTCTTTTCCCAGTAATGTTGCTATAAGTTATTCCAGTTAAGGGTCTGAAGGCCAGACTCTTTTGTACAGTAGCGCAGAGGAGTTTTTTAAAGACTCTCACTGTACAAACTTTTAATGTCTGAATTAAAGTCATCCTCAATGATGGGGCTTAAGATCACAAATCAAGAGATTAAATGCTCTGATTTAAAGGTTATACGCAATTATACATAAAGCTCAGAATTCATGTTCCGATGGCTGGAAAGCTCAGTCCAGAATGAGACACTCACTATGGAATAACAAAGCTACCGTATCCGACTATTATTCAAACATTAAGGGTTTAAACATTTAAACCTTTAGGCAGATGGGACAGAAACATCATGTGAGACCACATCTGAGGAAGGATTTGTGCCAAAACAGGACTGGGCGAAAAACAGTAGAACTCTTTAGCTGGAAGAGAAATTACTATGTGCCCCCAAAATGCAGAGAGCTGGGGCTTAATACAATTAGGATAGTGAGTGATGGCAGGCAATAGTCAGACAGATTCTCAGAGGCTGGGAATCAAGATTCCTGGGTTCTAGTCCCTACTCTGCCATTGATTTGCTGTGTGGCTTTGGACAAGTCATTTCTCTCCTCTCCGTACCACCGTGTCTTCATCTGTACAACAGGGGGAAGGGGGAGACTTGGAGGAGGAAGTGGTTAAATGTTTGCATGGTACTTTGCAAATTTAAAGTGCTGAGTATTATTAATATTAGAAAAAGTGACCGTAGGCCATCGCTGGTTATTCAAAGCAAGATAAAGCTACCATTGTATACTTAAGACAGCATCCATCTGCACACCAAATCCAGAGCAGGATTTGTGGTCTAATGAGGCAGTTATATTTTATTTCAAAAAGAGAGGACTTTTATTACAAAAAAATAAATAAAAAATCCCTGCTCCTTAAAGCCACTTCCCCTCTGGAAAGGGAGACAAGTGATGGAGATGCTGAGTGACCCTCAACCACAGCACAGCAAGTGTTGCAGGTAATTCTTACTGAGGTTTGGATCACCTTTCCCAGCCATGCTGCTAAAACTGGCACGGCAGCATCCAAGTCTCCCAGGAAAACTGGTGCATCTGAGAAAGTGTCCGCTTATTTCAGAGTGTGTATCTATTGTTGGCAGAACATGGACTGGGCTGACTAGGTGAAATGTGCTGGCGAATGTTTACAGTCAGAGTGAACAATCAACCCCCTCGACACTCAGATACAATGGAAGAAATAAGACACTAGGAAGAACAGCAGCAGAGCTGATGCACTGCCAGACTTCTGCTGGACATGGGAACTACTCATTAGCTAACTAACTACAGTTATCTCTTCATCTCTCTGTTACTCAGATATTGCGGGGCGAGGGAAGCCTCCAGAGGGCCTGAATGCCTGTTCAAGCATCTGTTCTCCATCCTCTATGGACTGGGACACTCTTTATTCACTGGCACCAAGTTTAAAATTCTCCCCTTATTCAGGATTTCATGCCTTTAAATGAGAAATCAGCTCATACCGGATCTGGACAGGGCCTGGGCTAATTTGCAACCCTGCCATGAAGCAGAACGGAAAAGGAGAGTCCTCCCACAGCTCCTCTGGGGCTTGAAATGCTCCATATAAAAACACCCACTGAAAGGGAGGGGAGGGGAATCCTTTACAAGGAAAAACTTGCCAGAGGAGCCCTGATAATGAACAATGTCCCAGGGAGAGAAGCTTTCACCTTGGAAGGGTTTTTTTCCTTGCAGCATTTGTTGTTCATGTCTATGATAGAAACATAGAATATTAGGGTTGGAAGGGACCTCAGGAGGTCATCAAGTCCAACCCCCGCTCAAAGCAGGACCAAACCCCAGACAGATTTTTGACCCAGATCCCTAAATGTCCCCCTTGAGAATTGAACTCATAACCCTGGGTTTAGTAGGCCAATGCTCAAACCACTGAGCTATCCCTCCCCCCCGGTGATGATGGTGCTGTGTGTGTAGCTGTGTATCCTCCTGCCCTACTGCTGGCAGGCAGCAAAATGTGGGTTCTTTTTAGCATACCTGTCTCTTCATAAATCAAGTCACCGTGAGGTGCTTGTGGAGATTGGACCAGCCCTCACCTGCCTACTCATGTAATTTGACTTGGCTCCAATGCCCAGTGGGCCAATAAAAATAGAGACTGCTCCAAACTCTGTGCTGCAAAAAAGCCATCTCTGTTTAAAACAGCTCTTTTCTGCATGTTCCAGAAGGCTGCTCAGCTCACTTCAGTAACTGGCAATCACTAATCTCCACTTCCCCCAGTGTCTCTTCCTTCAGATTGTCTAGTCTTTTCATCTTACCCATGTTTGTTTTAACTCCGTATTGTGTGATGCGGTCAGATTGGGTTCCTACTGGCGAAACTGCTAAGTGAGCAGCAGGACCCCATGTGCAGGAGGGACGCACACCTGCACAGCAGATGTCACTCTCTGACCTCGCAGAAGCAAACAGCTGGGGCAGTGACATGAAGAGACTACTTGTTTATTGCTTCCTACCTAGTCCACTGCAGCAAGACCAAGCCAACTATTAGGCAGAACTCGCAGGGTTACTCTTACATGTGAGCCATTAAGTTGGCAAAGTGATATAAATGAAATGCACACACTTAGCACTTACATAGTGCTTTACAATGTCTCTCGCTATGTGAGGATACAGTGACCAATCCAAGGGGGCCTCATTCTCAGCTGGGTCCTTCAGGCGCTACCCTAATACAAATAAGAATGATCCCAAATTTTCAAAGGCAGAAACTGAGCCACAGAGAGGTGAAGAGACTTGGCCAAGGTCACACAGCAAGCTGGGGCTCAGGAGAATGAGGTTCTATTCTTGGCTCAGCCAATGGACTCACTATATGACTCTGGGTAAGTAATAGTTTAGGAGCCCTCAAGAGGACTGTCTTGTACCTAAGGGACTGAACTGGAACTCAAGCGATCTGGGTTCAGTCTCCAGCTCTGTCACAGGCTTCCTATGACCCTGAGAAAGTCACTTACTCTTTTAATGGCCTGATTCCCAATCTGTGCCTCACATTGTTACATACCCACATCTGCATCTGTGCTCTTCTTCATGTCCTTCTGCAGTTTCTTGGTCTGATCTTCCAGCCTGAAATAGGAAAGAGTAAGACTAAGTTCTGAATCTTTAAAAAATAAACAAACATATACATGACAACTATGCCAACAGGCCAGCTGGTAGTTAAAAGGCAACTGGACACGTTTCTATTATGTATAATGCTGTTTAACCATATAACTAATTTCAAGTGACCTCCCACATCTCCACATGACCCTTACGTTTTAACTCTTACTTTTATAGTAAACATATCAGATATAGGTCCATACAATATAACAGTTACTACAACTACAACATTAGACCTTACAAACGTTGATGGTTTTGGACTCCTTGAAGATATTCTGGACATTTTCTTTTCTTTGCTTTAGAATTGTAATAAAATTGTCAATACCTCATGACCCCCCGCAGGTTGCAACCCACTGACTGAGAAACACCGATCTAAACCATCACAAAATTACAATGCACTCAGCGGGAGAACAAGCTGCTGAGCAACACAAGGAAAGATGCAATAAGACTAAGTTGGGTGAAAAGCAGATCCGTGATCATCCCCAAACTGGTTAACACTTACTGCTGAAGTTTCCCATATTCCCTTTCGAAGTCTCTCTCCACCTGGGGGAAGGAGAAAGAGAAACCACATCAGCTCAAACACATTAGAGCACAATTCAAAAAAATCCACCCAGGCCCCTGTCCTCCCAGCGGAAAGTACGAACTGGAATGATCTGCACGTATCCACGGATACATGTCAAGCTATTACTATTTATATAGTGTCAACAGCATGCTAGGCACTTTAGAGACAAACATGAGGATAACGGGTAACATTTTCAAAAGCACCTAAGTCCCATTTTTAAAAGAGTTTTAAGCACTTAGGAGCCCTAAGGCCTGGTCTATACTTAAAATTTAGATCAACCTAGCTAGGTCAACAGAATTCTTCTGTCAACCCAGCTGCCGCCACTCGGGAAAGTGGGTTATTTACATAGATGGAAAAACCTTTTCCATTGATGTAGGAAGCATCCACAATACAGTGCTTTAGTAGCACAGATGTAGTGTGCCACTGTAGTGCCCGGAGCATAGACATGGGCTAAGTCTCACTGGACTTCTAAATCACTTGGATGCTTTTGAAAATTTTACCCAAGGTTCCTGCCCTGATGATATTACAATCTAAATACAGAACTTGTTTAGCTTGTAAACTATATAAGACCCAAATAAGATCTGAAGCCTAAAACCTTGAAAGTATTTGGAGTATTAAATAACAAAACTTTTGGTGGTTCCTCCTAATTTAGTTCCAAAATGCTCACTGGGATTTCAGATCAGGAAACATCATGAATCTTCCTGCACCAGCAAAATTCTGAAGTTCTGAGTTTCATTCTAAGGCATCAGGGGAAATGTCGAAAGGTGGAGATATGAGTGTAGTGTATTCAGTGTAGTGAAATTTGTATTCAAGAAATACCCAATGGACCCAAGTAAGTGGGTGCTATAGTGTTTCCCAAAAGTAGAAGCGACTTTTCTGTGTTTTCTGTTAGTAGACAGACCAGACCATTTTAGAGAAAAAGTCATTGCCACCAGCTGTGTCAGTTCATTCTGAGGACATGCTAGGGCGCATGAACTGGAAACTGACAAAATAAATGGAGCCGTTCTAAAAGCACACAAAGGTGGCAGCCCAACAGGTATAATGACACATGAACACACATGCAGTACTGTCCGCTTTACACAGCCCTGCTCGGTGTTTACAGAAGAAGAGCAGGTCATATGAGAAATGTTTCTGTTCGGGGGTCCAGAAACACTGTGTGCATACGTTCACCCATGGTAATGGAGAACGGGACCTGGGGCATGCCCCTCTCTCCTCTGACACCAAATTTAAAGGACTCCACACTTCCCTTTGCCGATTATTAAGTATCTATCTTCTCTGCATGCAACTATTTTGTATTTCCATGTCACTAATATCGGTTCTTCAGGCTTCAGTAACTGGTATTCTAGGCCTCCTCCTTTTCCCTTATGATTTGCCTGTGTGATGTGCCCCAGCACTCCTCCCAACTCCCATTCTAATCCATAGGTTCTAATCCACCACAGAATCCGGACTGCTCCAAGCCTTAGACTTGAAACTGGGTTTGAAGCAGTTTAAGCTCCATTAGAGAATGCACAACTGAAGGGGTGGCAGTGGCTACTGGCTGCTACAGCTGAGTTCTTAGTCAGATTAACTACTGCAGTTGTCCCAAAGGATTGGTAATTTTGTATTTTAGCACTTCTTTTCTGATCACTTCCTATGAAACTATACATTCTCTGTACCATACCCTCTGTCTCCATCAGCTCAGGTAACCAAGGGCCCCCTTCTAAGCCTCAAGATACCACTGGTTCTCCATGCCCCCCAAATTCTAATACATGGCCCTATTGCAAACAAATCCACCAAACCATGGGGTGAAAAGAAAACAATTTTATTATTTTAATTGCAGTTCTCAGTGTGCTGGGCACTTTCCAAAGAGATGAAGATAGAGTCACTGCCCCAAAGAGTATACAAGCTAAAAAAAAAAAGTCATCCAAGCAGAGAAGTATTCTCCAAATATGACATCAATGATTTCCTATTCCAATCTGCTGTCTGACAGAAAATCTCCAATGAGCTATGATACTCCATGGTGCTTTCATTCCAGGTGGACTGTTTTAACACATACTTAAACATTCATTCCACATCTTATCAACCAAATAAAGCACATGGATTTCAACTGACCAGCCAAGAGTAAACGTGTACTTTTGTTGTCATGGGATCAAAACTGGGTTCTTTTTCGTGGTTAAGCTGCCACACTATTAAACAGGCAGCAAAGCGTTGCACACAGCCAAGACTAGAATGAACCAGAGTATTTTTTTTAAAAACGTACTCCATGCTGCTCCAGGCATTTGAGACCGAGACTCACAGCAACAAAATATAGCTAAAGAAACAACACATTTAATAAAATCCCCCCCTTGGTTTTCAATTCCAATTGCTATAAGGCCAACATTTTAAAGTGGAGACCTACAGGTGTAAATGTCACCCTCATTTTTTGCAATCCCCCTTTCTTAAATATCTTCTGAGTTTGCAGGTTCAAATCCACCCAAAGTCAGTAGTGACTGAGTCACTGCAATCTGATGGCTGTTTGGTAGGTAGTGAGTTTGGTGAGCTTCGGTCAAATTCTAAGGGGATATGTGTCCAGGCCAACAGAGACTACTATTACTGGCACCCACGCTGGCTGTCTCTGTAGACTGAAAAGCTCCAGAGACTGATCTCCCTTTCTCGCTGCTAAAATTGGTCCCTCCAGGACAGGGTGGATCAATGAGGGGGCAGCTTGCATAGCCAATGCCTGGTTCACAGCTCTGCAAAAATCCACGACAGCTGGTGCCTTCAGGTCAGGTAACCAGCACATAGTAAAATCACCCTATATTTCTATGGTTGTTCCGGCTGTAAAAATAACCCCAGACTATTGCATTCTATTTATATGTCTGTGTGAACTGTCCTGGTTGCAAACCAAAGGGGGCCGGCATGACTCAGGCTCGAGTCCTTTGACGGCTGATGGTATTATTCCCCCTTTTCTCAGCATGAAGCTCCATCCCGTTGCAGATGTACTATTCAGAAGAATTTCCCTTTCATTTGGTCAGCAATCAGTTCTTTCTAGGCTTAGTTGCAAAGGGTGGGGAGGCTTGGGATGAAACAGAAGGTAAAGATGCTGAGCGGTTCCTGACATTTGCTGATTTACCCATTATTGTTCAATTCTCCCCTCTACCTGCAGTGCCTGGGGGTGAAACAAAGGCATCTCAGTCTATTTGACATGAGGGAGGCCACAACTCTCACACAGAAGTTACTTTTCTATGTGGAGTACACATGTTCCTCAAACTCTCATCCTGCCCTATCTTTCTTGGGTTCCCTGCCTAGTCGTCTTGTGTGCACTCTGCATATCAGGGACTGAATCCTCTTCTCCACAAGGCAGCACATCAAACACCCCTCCCCACTCACATCCCCAATGACATTTATACAGAGACAGCTGCCCAAGCATTAGTCTTGTTTCACCCCCACAGTAACAGTTGGCTACCAGTCACTGCATTCTGCACACCCATGTGCCTCTGCTAGCTACTATTAATTATTATATTTCTATTATGGTAGCACCCAGAGACTCCAACTGAGGCTCATGGACCATCACGCGACACAAATAAGTCCCTGCCCCAGAATGCTCACAATCCGGGTTTATGTAAAGATGCAACAGGTGGATGAAAGAGACAAATGCAGTGGGCTGCGAGGACAAGGTAACAGTACACCAAGCACGTTATGCATAGTACCCAGCAGCTTCAGCTCTCACTTAGATTTCACCAGCCTGGAAACTTAATGGCCGTAGGCATCTGACATGTAAAGCAAAAAGCTACTGATAGAGTTACCAAGTTAAAAATAATGAGCACTAGAGGTACTTTGAAGAAAAGAAACCATCTAGGTAAGTTTCCACATTCAAATAATTCCTCCCTCCAACCCACCTTACTCACTTTCGGAAGCTTGAAACCAAAATCTGTTTTCCTTACTGAAATGCTTTTTGTTCCATGCACATTGGTTAGTTATTGTAAGATTGCTCCCGAGTGCAGACTTAGGACTTTTAACTGAAGTGCTCTTTAAAACCCCCCAGTGAATTACATTGACTTTGTAACAAATCCAAGAAGGGGTCGAACTTTGATCTTTCCAGCCATGATAGAATCTTTGTAACTCAAAGGGCCTGTTGTAATCAGCAATGTGGTAGAGAGGAAATGATGCAAGACCAATGAGCACCACAAGAGGATGGAAAGGCAGTACTGTGAAGAGCCTTCTTACTCTCCTGGAGGAAGGGTGCTATTTGATTTCCACATGGCATCATTCCATTGGACTCAGACTCCCTTAATGGGACTTGGCAACAAGAGGGAAGAGAAAAAATTGTGTAGTTAAGCCAAACGTTTTATTATAACCACAAACTTCTGCTGGGTATGTGCCATCCCATCAAACACAACGAAGATCCCACCTAGACAATGCAAGTTGTGTGCATAAATTGGGTGCAGCAGAACAATTAGCACAAGACATAATAACCCCTTTGTGTCTGACAGTCGAGTACCTTGAGCCAAAATAATCCTGAAATGAAGTGAAGCCGGAATACGAGCCTGTACACCCATGACTAGGATTTCGTGGACTTCACAAACCACAAGCCACACCTACCCATCTTCTAAGTAAGGCTATGGGTGGATAAGCAGTGCACAAAAGCAATGCTGCTCCTAAGCCGTTCCCCAAAGAGCATCACGTGCAGCTTCAGAATAGAAGGATGGGACTCACCCCGCTTCAGCTTTAATGAGAGGGGGTGGAAGGGAGAGTGTAATAGACACAGTCACCTAATTCACCAGGCCCGTTAATTTCATCCCACCAATGCTGTTACTCCGGTATTAGAGATTTCAAATGTTAGTCATGTGCAGTGGAAACTAATTATGGCAAACTTGCTGGGATGGAATTCTTGTTCTAATGAAGCTCAGTTATCGAAAGGTCTCAGGGAACACCAAAATCTTTGGCTAAATCAAGGGAGCAGACTCTGAAGTCTACAACCCAGGTTTGTGAGCTCTGGAATACACTCTGCCAATCATGCCCAGCCAACTCACTCAAGGTCAGCCAGTAACACAGTGGGGGAAGGATACACCCCGAATTGAGCAGACTGAGGTGGAGAACCCCTGACCAACTCGTCCAAGGTTATTGGGGGTGGCTATGCTCTGGATTCCCCTCTTCCAAGAGAGAAAATGAGCTGACTGGCTTCCCCTGCTTTGCCTGGCAGTGGTGGGAGGCTGTGCTCCAGGCTCAGAGCTCACTGTGGAGAGGCACAAGCTGCAATTCTTTTCAGCCACCTGCCGACTCAGATGACCCAGTCCCCACTGAAGAGCATGGTACAACCCCAGGGTGACCCAGATGAACTTCAGTTAGCTGGGACTCCACTGCAGCTTGAACAGTGTAACTTGTGCTTACAGTGAAGTTGTCCTGGGGGTGGGGGGAAGGGGAGAGAGAAGGGAACTGTCTCCACTATAAGAGGCATCCACTGTGTACTGGATTTAAATAATAAACATTCTGCACACAGATATAATTCTAACAGGTTTAGGTCCTATCACTGGGCATTAGTTTAATTGGGCTGCGTTACTATGTCCTCTATCGTTCCCCTGACAGCAGGTCCTCTCTGTATATTAGATCCTCCCACCCAATCTCCTCGCCTCTGTACGAGCTCAGTGACAGATGCTCTTTTCAGGGGAAGAGGAGGGGAGAGATTATTCCGTCTGGAATTGGATTTGCCCAGGTTTAGGTGGAAACAAAGTAGTGACATGCCGGGGGTGTGGGGGGTGGGAGATCACTTCAGTTCACCAGCTGATATTTCCTACAGGGGTTTCCTTCTACCTGAAGAGCTACACGGTGGCTGACACTTTGCCCTTCTTCAAAGGATCAGCAGCGAGTGGGCACAAGGAGTCATGACTAATTCCTACTGCAGCCCAGTCAACTTATTTTCCAGTGCTCCTACTAGTACTAGAGCCTTTTAATCTCAAAAGCTTTGGTGAGCTAAGCCTGCCATGTCAGAATGATTCTGTCTCTCTCCCCGTGTTGGAATTAGCATGATGCTCTGGTGGGAACCAACTGCTAAATTCTGACAACTGCCCCCTTTTTTTTTTTTTGTGGTACAATCTTGTGAGTGGGAGATCCTCTCCATAACCGCTTCCCTTCTGATGAGCTCTGGATGGAGCCCTGGAGATGCCACACCTTCCCACTTCCTGCAGAAGCCTCCAGAGGCCAACATCTGGAATAAAATGGAGAGCTAAAGCAGATTGTACTGCTGTTCACAAAAGCCCACACAGATGGAATGTCTCAGCCTGCAAGGGGGAGGTAAACTCGGAGGTCTACGCTAACTAGCTTAGCTACAAAGCTGCCCATCACTTCCATACCCTGAAACTAAGAGGAGTGTAAATCTGAAGGTCAGATTCTCAAGGGAGATTGGTAGGTTCAAATATTAACTCTCGTTCAATCTGAGCTCCTGCTCTACCATTAGGAGGGCTAGCTTCAGAGGTGATAGTGGAGACCTTGGTGTGTGGCACTATGTGCAGCAACACAGTTTTATGTAGTATAAGGTCTTTCAGACAAACTGCATCCTGAAACACTTTATATAGTTAAACAATATATTATGGCACAGGGAAAGGGAAATTCACAGCTGCAGACAAAGAGAATATGTACTCATATGAGAGACAAAAATCAGATGGGGCGGAAATGTCCAAAAACACTGTTCAAGTCATCAGGCGATGCGTAGAAGAAGGCTCTTGCGCCAGCAGAGAAGAAACCAGTGCTAGATAGGTGGATGGAGCAAGTAAGGAAGTGAGACAGTCAGGATCTCTGCAATCCGATAGAGAAAGTCAATGAGGGATTTAAAAACAAAAAAAGGGTAATTTTGAACTGGATCTTGAAATAAACAGGGATCCAGTGGATTTGCCTGAGGCTGGGGGTTGTATTCTTTGCAGAGATTGCAGAGAGCAGCATTCAACACATGAGGTCTGGAGCACTAGAACTTGGGAAGACCACAGAAGAGTGAAAAGGAGTCAAAGGCCCTCATTAGGGTTTCAACATTGCCGTTCTTTAAAAAGGTCCCTTGCTTAAATTTTGCACTGCCAGTCTGAAGCGGAAGCAGAAAACTGTCGTTCTGCAACACCACAGAACGACACCATCCTTTAAATAAAAGATTACAATTCATCAATATTGGGAAGTGGCAGAGTAAACCCTCCGTCTCAAGGGGAAACTTCACGCCACAAAAAGCATCTTTGACACCTTAATACAAGTAACCCACGCATCCTAAGGAATTAGCAGTGGTGGGAGTCCCACAGAGGAAGGATCAGGAATGTTAGTCTGTACAGGGGATTAGTTCACCAATGCAGTTATAATTATAAAGCCAATGTCTCTGTCACACTAGCGATCAGGACGCTTCTTTTAAAGCAGGTACGCAGGTTAATTCAGGGATTGCTACTGTGAGCACTACAGCTTTCACAGGACAAGGACCATCTGCTTAAGCAGGGAAAATACCACAGCCAGCTGCAAGAAACAGCGCTTGGGAAAGGACTTTCAAATTCATCAGAATACAAAATGCTTTTTTAATTTTCTTTTAAAGCAAATGCTGTGCAGCACAAATTAATTCATGCCTGAGTACTAAGCATCTCAGCCTCCTCTGATAAGCTTTCCTTTGGAAACAGTTATATTCAGCGATCTGAACCACTCCCCCTCCTCCATCTGCTCAGAAAGGATGAACAAACAAGCCATTGCTGAAAGAAGGAAGGAAGGAAGCATGTTCAGTCATCTCCTAGGAAAACTGTGCCAGAATGAAAGAGCCCCCTCCCTTAAAAAACAGATCCCGAGACCAAAATACTGCATGTAGCTGGGACTCCCCCTCACCCACAGCGCAAGGATGTGATGGTCAAACACAGCAACAGGTTCTGCTCACTCACACTCCCCTCCCACATACACACACAAAAATGGGACGAGTCAAAGTGCTGGCTTGACTCACCAGCCACATGATCACAGACTGGATCTAAAAAGGGGGAATTGGTTTACTCACTGTCTTGGGTACAATCTGTTTCTTGGGCTGCCCAATCTTGAACGGAATCCTGGAAAAGGGAGGAGGGAGAGATAAGGAATATGTAAGCGAACAAGAATAGCTGGCCTCACATGCGACAAAGTCAAAAAACACGTTCCCCAAGCTCTTTCTTAGAAAAGGATTTTTGGATGCCAGCTTCAGTGGAATAACATCCCAGATCCTGGTACTACATTCAAGATAAAGTACATCTCCCTTTGGAGTTGGCTTCAGCTCTGGCATCAGTGATCTTCCCAAACAGCAGTGCCAGCTGGGTCTCCAGCAGTGAAATCCCCCTTTTTCCTCCGGTCAGTGTCCTATTAATACAACTAAGGGCTCTAGATGTCCAAGGCACTCCTTGGCAGCACAAAGGTCTGAAGGTGGTGCAAAATTTCAAAATAAATCTGAAAGGGGAGGCGAGGGTGGGGAGGAAGGAATCAAACACTGCAAATATTTACAAAGAGAACATTAAGGGGGGGGGGGGGGGGGGGGGAAAAAAAACAAAAACGGAAAAAATTAAAAAAGAGAAGGTGGGGGGGGGGGGGGGGAAGAGGGAAAGACCCTCAAACACCACCACCCAAGTGTCTGGAGTTTTGAGCTGCTTCAGAGGATTTTTCTTACAACAGCTGCAGTGATGGCTCACCTGCCAGCTGAACAGCCTTCATTCTTAAAAACCTTAATATGGTTGTGAGTACAATCTGGATGAACTATTCCCCCCCCCCACACACACACATAAGCTAGTTGGAAGGTGAAGAGTGCTCACGATGTATCCATTTTTGGCTCAGTCAGATTGTTGTAGTCATAGTCATAAAGCAATTAAAATAATTAAGTTTCTTTCCCCACTTGATAACCAAAGTAATAAAAACACAAAAATTCAGCCATTGCTTTCAATGTATTAGACTAATTTATGTTGTCTGGTTAAAATTCATGGTCCATAATGCTCCCAGTTTATACTAAACCCAGTTTACAGCATATTATGCTAGTGTAGCTATGGGGAGAATTCAGTTACATATTTTTGAAAAAGGAATAGCCTTATCCAGGAATGGTATCCTGTCTCAAACAATGTTCTGTACCACATGCAAAACAGAAGGTGCAGAAGTCCCGTAATGGTCCTGTGCAAACAGTAACAAATTGTCACATTTTTTACTAAAATTGATTTTAAAAATCTAATTTAGTTTATATAATTTAATCTCTTAACCAGTTAATTTTTGTCAGTATTGTAGAGTGAAAATGGCTAGTCAGTTTCACAAATGTCTCTAATCAGTTTCACTTACAGGTTGAAGGGTTGTTGAGGAAAGTTTTAATTCAAACTACGCTGATTTCCAATGATTATTTTTAACCGTGAAAACATTGTTATTACCCTATCGGTTTTGTAAAATCTCTTATATACAACTAACTTTTAGGATTAAACTACCAGTTAGAGACTTCTCTCTGCAGGCACCACTCCACAAACACCACACCATATGAGACAACACTTAATATGGGAATGACAGCAAAAACAAGATCATCCAATGACCCAATTCCCTCTTTGCTTCATTTCAGCCAATCATAGTCAAACCAATGGTATAATTAGCAACCAGTAATAAACCTAGACTGCAATCCATACCTCCTGAACTGACCATGGAGTAAAAGTCAACATTAGTCACAAATGTTTAAATTTAATTTCTGGAGTACTTCCTGTTTATTGTTCTCCAGCATGGCTGATGTAATTTTAGGCTGTTAACCCCTTCCAGTTCCACTGGCAGTCACAGCAACCATGAATCACACTTCTTCTATAAACAAACAATCGTCTAGCATATAATGAAACAGTCAATAACTGGTTGTGGTGCCTTACAGGAAGGAATAGGAAATTAAAGATTTTTCTTTTTTCTACATGGGCAAAAAGTCAATAAAAATGGGGTGACTCCCTTATTACCCTCTGGGCACTGGTCATACTATTGAAGTCAGTATAACCAGGTGCTATCTATCATTAGAGCTAGTTATTTGTGACAGTGAAATCTGCATCAGTAACTGCCCTCAGGTAGAGGCCAGGAACAAAACCGGGGAACTGAGGGGGAGCAGTGGGATGGAGAAGAAGAAAACTAGGACCAAATACAGCGCCCGGTGTAAACAGATGCAACACTGTTGCTGAATTTGGACCTGCTGTGCCCAGCCTGAGACTGGTTGATAATATCTTGCAGCAGGCATTGCCGGGAGTTCCTATAGAAACATAACACGGGAAGATGGAGATTGCTGGCAGTAAGTGAAGAAAGCATGTATAAATCAAAGCTTAACCATTTGATCTCCTGTGAAATATACAACATGCAGCTACTAGAGTGGCACCCTGAGGTCCCACGCATCACTGACACCATGCTGAAGTAATCAGCTAACAAATGCACCTTTAAATACTTTGCCCTTCTACATGACGTTACAACAGAGGATCTCCGAGTGCTTACAAACACTGAATCTTTATCTCCATTTTACAGATGGAGGAAACTGATGCACAGAGAAATTAAGTGATTTACCAAAGGTCACAAAGTGAGTCAATGGCAGACAGGAATAGAACTCAGGAATCCTTATTCCCAGTCCCTGCCCTAAGCACTTCAAATCCATGAGTAGAGATGTGGCATTAAATAGAGATATTATGGTGAGTGACGTTGTACCGATAAGAGGAGGTGGGGGAAATTCCACCAACGGCACCCCATTTGAATGCATTATTTAGTATTCATGTTGCACCATGAATTGCACGGTGCATTACAGAAGAGAGAGAGAGAGAGACATGGTCCCAGCCCCAGAAAGTTTACAGTCCCAGCCAAAGAACAGTTAACACTGTGCACGATTAGGGATAATTGTTTCTCTGTTGCTAATGATTAATCTTAGTTAACACAGAAATGAACACAGAATTTAAATACAGGCCCCTTACAGAGGCTCTGAAACACCACCAGCCAAAGAGGACCATTCAAACAAAGATGCCTCCTGCAAATTAATCTGCAATAGACAGAGTGGCCGGCTGGAAAACGCAAAGAGCAGCAGTGAAGATAGCTATAGTTGTGTGAGTCTCTAAACATTTGTTTGCAGTGGTTTTGGAGCTGTGCTGATCCCAGGATATGAGACAAGGTGGGTTAGGTATAGGGTTGGCAACTTTGGTTGGATGAATTCCTGGAGATTCATCACATGACATTATCTGTAATTAAAGATTCATCTTTAATTCCTGGAGACTCCAGGACAATCCTGGAGGGCTGGCAACCCTAGTTAGGTAATATATTTTATTGAACCAACTTCTGTAGGTAGAAGGTGCAAGATTTTGATTTCCTTTCCCCAAAGCTGAAGAAGAGCTCAGCATAGCTCGAAAGCTTGTACCTTCTACCAACAGAAGCTGGTCCAACAACAGACATTGTCTTGCCCACCTTGTCTTACTAAAACATGACCTTTCACCATTTACTTAATCAGACTTCTCTACCCAATACAGCTTTGCAATCTCATGAAGTATGGGGGCTTCCTAAGAAAAGGCAGCCGCTCTGGAAAGTGTGTGAGGCATGGGGAAAAACCGACTGTCAGTCTTCATTAAAGAGCATGACAAAACTAAGTAAACTCTAGTAAAACAGGGATACTGGAAACTGACCAGATTAAATCACAACTCATACTAGGCTTGGATCCTAGTGTTCTAAACCAACCAAGACCAGCAGCTGAGGGTGCAGGCAACTGGTAGTTTATGTAACAACTAATTGCAGGATGGAAGGGGATGGAGGAATCCGGGCTCAGACCGAGGGAGTATTTCAGGTCTTCTACAGCACCTGAGTAGCCTGGTTGAGCTTAAATTGTATCACTCCTTCCTCCTACCTTTAACCTGAACTGACATAGTCTGCTTTAGCACTTGCGTTTCTTCTCGAGCCGAACTAGAATAAAACAAGAAGCTCAGGTCAATTAATGGATAATGGGATCAGCCCATCCTGTTTGAGATGGCTCACTTTTCTTTAAACTACTCATTACATTTATGCAATGAAGGGCAGTGCGGGATGTGAGCTACAGGATATTTCAACTCCATCTCAGTTGGGAAGGAAAGGATTTTCACATCCAAAAAGTTCTGTGTACAGAGGAAGAAACAAAGACTATTTTCTTTCACAGCAAAAGAAAGTCAACAGGATGTTCAACAAAGCTACAAATATACTTTGAAACAGCAAATATCTCTATTAGCATCATGATGCCAGTTGGCTAATTATGTCTGTCTCAGTAAAAACCTTTTTAAAAAACCCGGTTCATATAATGTCTATTTTTTTATTTTAAAAAAAAAAGCTATTTTATATTTTGAGACAATTTTCCTCGTTTAATATGGCTCAGTGAAAAAGCAACACAAGAAAGAAGAACAGAAAGAATAAAGCAATGAAGTAGTAAGAAGATCAGAACCACTGATCTTAGCTGAGATTTTAAAATAAATTGACACACCCGCAGCTTTGAAATGCAGTTGGAAGAAGCTGCTGGCAGCAGAGAGAGAGAGAGATGTGCTCCAACAATCTGAGCACGAGCCCGAGAGCCAATAACTCCTCCTGGGTTCTAATCCCAGTTCGGACATTCTATTGCTGTGATGCCTTGGGCCAGCCATTTCATTGCTCCATGCCTCAGTTTCCCCATCCGTAAAATGGGGATAATATTATTACCTGATATAGTGGGATGCACAAATTAGCAGCTGTCAGAGTGCGCTGTAAGATGAAGAGCTCCAGGTATTATTAGTCTGCCTGGATACCACAGCGATGAGCATATCAGAAATAGATCAGATTGACATACGGTTCCAGATGTTTTACTATGTGTTACGGAGCCTCCTCCTGGTGTGCCAGAGCCGCAAATGCTACCCTAGAAACCTGAGCACGTTTCCACATAACTTAGAGGAGAAATCTGGACTTGTGTGTGTTTCGGTTCTATTATTTCTGCTGAGTGAGAGAAAGCTGGGGTTGTGTTTGGGGTGTGAAATCCCTTGAAATCATGTTCATAAACAGTGTGGGCATGCTGAGTCAGAGTCGGAATTTTCCCACTCTGAAGAGCTCTCTGGTCAGATACAGC